ATGTAGGTAATTCGCTAAAAATAATATATAACATGTCTAAATTTGATGTAATTCGCCAAAATAGTCAATTATGACCTATTTTAAAATTTCCGTCAATTTGCCGAAACTCAACTTTGGACCTTTGACCAAATTTTTGGCAATTCACTGAAAAAAAAATATGACATATATCAGAGATGTCCGGGGTCCTGACAAACCAAGTACAAATTCTAATTTTGCCATAAAAAATTACAGTTTGAGTTATTGCTTAAAATAGTCAATGTAAATTACTTTACTATATAAAGCTTATATAGTAAACTTGATTGATTATATAAAGTATAACTAACTCAGATTAACTTGATTTTGACCCATGACTCACATAATCTGTGATAATTTCTGACCTATATAGGTCAACCTGACTCAGGTAACTGCTCTATATATAACAACTGTAACCTATTGTATATCTCTATTATAAAGCTTTGTTTTAATATATTTCAACTATATAACTAATTTTAAATACTATATTTGGAAACCTATTTTTTAAAGTAGCATTATATTTATTAATAAACAAATATATATAGTTACTAGCTACTAGATTATCTAATTTGAAAAAATAAATACTTGATTTTTTAAAGAAAATAAGCCAAATCCTACTTTTTGTTAAAAATTTAAAAAAAAAAACTAAAATTATAATAAAAAATAAAAGAAAACCAAAAAAGAAAAAACTACTTGTATAAATTGTAAAGAGTATATTAAAAAATAAAAATTTTTTATTATTTTCCTATAAATTTTTTATTGTTTACAAAGTTTATTAACAAAAGAATATTATATTTTCAAAGTTTTATACAAGAGTACCACTTGCCAGTTATTTTATATAATAATACTTTTGGTTTGTATGCTAAATAATAAAAAAGTCTTCATAGCAAAGTTAATTTTTATAAAAACTACTATTTGTAGTATATAGTACTGCTTTTTTTAACAAATAGTTCATTTTTTTTAGTAGAAATTTTAATACAAGTAATTGTAGAAAAAGTTTATTTTAATTAAATTTTGCTTATTTTTTTTATTACTTATACAGTAGAAATTATAAGTATTTCACCTCTTTAACTTTTTAAGTAAAAAAGCTACAACTTTAAAATTTTTACAATAAATAGTATTAAATAAATATAGATTAGTAGCAAATTTTTATAGTTTTTTAATCACTAAAACAAAAGTTAGATGAGAGCTAAATTTTTGGCCAATTTAGATACTAAAAACTAATTAAATTTAATTTAAAATTTATAAAAAATTAGAATTAAATCCAAAAGCTTTAAAAATTAACAGAATTAATCTTTAAGCATTTCTATAGTATTAACAAAAAATTTGAATTAATTTAATAAGATAGTTGTTAAGAAATTAATTTTTAAAATAATATTACCATTTTTGAGATCCGCTAAAGCAAGGTAACTATTGAATTGATGGTCTAGAGGAATGTGCATGTCAATTGATTATCTAATCAACGCAGCCAATCAATGCTACTTAATAATCATACAGTACATCTAATCAGATATGTATAGATTTAAAAGAAAAAATTTTTTTTATTGAGAGCGCATTTGAACTACTGGCTTGAAGTTCTTTAAAAGAATTTCATTTATAAAAAAAATATTCCGTAGCAAGCTAGTAGTTCTATAGTTATTAAAAAAAAAAAAAAGACTTTATGCTAAATAATTACTGGCCTAAAGTACTGAAGTTCTCTGCAAAAATACTACAGTATTTCGCTGTTTTGAGGTTCTGGCTAAAAAATCTCATGGCTAACAAAAAACCTACAGTATACAGCAAGTAAACGAGCAGCTTCTGGCTGAATAAAGCCCCATGACAAACAACAAGCAAATGAGCAGCTTCTAGTTAAATAAAACCCACGGCAAACAGCAAGTGAGTGAATGTTTTCAGATAACAAACAAAAAAAAAATAATAAAAAAAAATAATAAAAAATATAAAATATAAAATAATCCTTGAAAAGCTTCGCATAACCTGGGAAGACCCATTATTAATTATGTGGTTAGTAGCATTGAACATGGTTAAAATTGAGAGGGTAAGAATAAGAGTAAATTCAATAAAATTTGTTAATTTTAAGTGTTTAAAATAAGCTATTCAAGTTTGTGAATATTTACTATTTAATTTATTTTAATTTTTTTTGTTCATGTTGATTTAGTGCATAAGTATAAAACAACTTATTAATCTAACTATTTAAAATCGGATATTCAGATTAATGAATATTTACTATTTAACTTTCTTAATTCAGGTTAATTTAGTGCAAAATACAAAGAAAATTTATTAATTAAAGCGTTTAAAACAAGCAATTCAAGACTATGAATATTTGCTTCTTCATTTGTATTAATTTAATCATAAGTATAAAGAAAATTTATTAATCTAGCTGTTTAAAATTAACTATCTAGGTTTATAAATATTTATTATTTAATTTGCTTTAAGTTAATTTAGTATATAGATACAAAGAAAATCAATTAGTTAGTGTTTAAAGTAAGCTATTCAGTTTATGAATATTTAATTTTTTTTTTTATTGTATTATTTATGTGGGATTATAAAAAGAATTTATTAATCTAAGTGTTTAAAGTAAGATATTCGAGTTTTATAACAGACTTTAATATTCATATGTTTTTATTAAAACATTAATTTTAAAATTGCTTAGGTTCAAAAGAAAATAAAAAAAACCTAACGAAGAATTATGACCATCTTTGCATTATTACACTATTTATTACTTCTTGTACATATAGTACATTTGATATTTTTGAATATGTGAAAGCCTTACACTATCCTTTTCAACTCCTATATGAATAAATGCTTTGTGCTTATCCTCCTAACTCATTCCACTTCAGAACTCTATTTTTTTTTTTTTGTTTTTTTTGTTTTTTTTTTATTTTTTTTTTATTTTTAATTAATCGCTAGCTCTAATATATTTTTCAAATTCTAACAAATTGTGACGTTTTATCTATGCTTTTCTCTGCTAATCTATAGTAGTAGTCTCAGTTCTTTCAAACAATTCATTCATTTTCAATTGACTTTTTTCAGCTGCTTTTTTGGCTGATAATTTCTGAATTATAGGTACTTTTACAAAACCACGAGTTTGATATACTTTCATCCCACTCTCTTCAAATGTTCTTTGAAAGTAACCCCAAGTTTCTAGCATTAAAATATTAGAACCACAAAGTTGTTCATAGAAAATATAGTGACATAATAACATATACCAATTGAAGAATCTACACAAGCATTCTGCACTTGCAAGGTTTGGTGCCCCCTTTCCTTCTTCTAGTCTTTTTGAGATGGTATATGCTTCTTCTGTGATAAGTTTCTAAAGAGGAAAAGGAAATTTGTAGATCTTGGTAAGAATTTTCTGACCTAATATTTGCAAGAAAAATTCTTTTAGTACGAAAGTTGATAGCAGTTTCTTTTGCAGTTATCATTTTTTTCTTGTCAAGTTCTAAAAGAATATGACATGCATTTGTATAATAATAATAATAATAATAATTAATAATAATTAATAATAATAATAATAAATTATAATATCAGAACTCTTTCCGATGATCATCTGTACCAAAAAATCCAAACACATTTTTTATAAAAATACAATAGTATTTAGTAAAACATGGAGGGCATACTAGTCGCTATAAGTCGGCAATTGTTATTTAGAGGTACACAATGTTAGTTTGGGGCTTTTGGGACAGAATAGGTCTAACTATTTCTAGAAAGCTATCTAAGAATCTCTAGAAGCCCAATTTGATTATTTTTAAATAAGTCTAACAGTTTGGAACAAACCGTTAGATTTATTTTGTATCACTAGAAAGGTTTCTATCTGCTCTAGAAGCTTTATTTTAATATT